ATAATAATGCCATTCGCAGCAACATGGATGGACCTAGAGATTATCAGACAGAGAAAGACAAATATCATACAACATCACTTACATGTGAAATCTAAGAAAAATAATACAAATGGGCTTATTTACAAAATGGAAACAGATTCACAGACATACAAAACAAACTTACAGTTACCAAAGGAGAAAGGGGGGAGGGATAAATTAGGAGTCTGGGATTAGCAGACACAAACAACTATATATTATATGGACAACAAGGTCCTACTGTATAACACAGATAACTATATTCAATCATATAATAACCTATAATGAAAAAAAATACATGTATAACTGAATCACTATGCTGTATACCAGAAACTAACACAATACTATAAATCAACTGTATTTCAACAAAAATAAGAACTCCCTTTTAGGGCTGTTGGGAGAGATAAACAATCTAGTATACTTTAAAAAGTATAGTATAATTCTGAAATAATATTTGTATGCTCAGAATGTTGCTAATTTTTATTTCACTTTTTGCTTCCCTTAATCTTAAGACTTGTTCTCATATCTCTTTACCGAATCCTCCAAGAAGGGTATATACCTTTAGTTTCAGATTGTGGGCATTTATTTCATGGATTTAGGAAAAATAAAGATCTAAAATAATTAAAAGGAGTGATGGGAACCTGATTCCTTCCCACTTACAGGAAGCCTAGCCTAGTGGTGATAGCAGTCCTTTCTGATATTTCTTATTTGTTTCTTAAAAGGCAAGAATTATGAGACTTCTAATGCCTCGTTCTTCCAGATCTTTCTGATTTGATCTCCCTTATTTATTGTGGCAGCTACTCTTTGCTGAATGACCTTTGCTCTCCCCACCCCAGATCACTGACATTTGAAACCATTTGAATATTTAGTATGGAATTCCTTGTCCTGAACCTGGATTGAGTTTCCCTGAGAGATTTCATTATAGGCTTACAGCGGTGGGGAGCGGAAGGGTTCAGAGTCTGAAGCCTTCCCTTTATCACCCAAACTGAAACAAGCTGAATAATAACTCTTTCTCTTCCTCACTCATCTAACAGCATATAACCAACGTGAGTAAAAAGTGTAAATTCTATCACAACCTATTTCCTGCTACTGCCCTAGACTCATACCCTATCTATCATTCTCATTTCTAAATTGAAATCTTTTCTTCCTAAAGTTTAGTGGCAATGTCTTACTTTTCTGGCTTTTGTGTTTATTAGATTGGAAACTCCTTGAGCACAATTATTTGATGTTATTTATCTTAGTTTCAGATTTTAGCATCAAGCCTTGTATTCACTTCATAACTGTCCCTTCAATTCATTCATTGCAGTCCAGTGCTGGCATTGTGCCAAAGACAGTGACATATTTATGACAGGTAATAATGTACCTGGTTTATTGATAGCAAAAACTCAATATTTACTCATTGACTGGTTAACAGTTTGAATACATTTTATAGTTCGAGTCGGATGAAGTCTTTCCAAAAACCGGTTAGAACCGTTCAGCTGGAATTCTCTGTATCAAATTGCTCAAATAGTAGCTCTCTGCACCTTTTTTCTGTAATGTTATCTGTAAGATTGGAGCTGTATTACCTCATAAAAAATGAAAAGAGTCTTTTAAATACTCGTAGTGCTAAAATCCCTTGGTGGGAATTCAGAATCATCTCAAATTCTGTCCTATCCCCAGTGTCTCAGCCAGGTTCCAGTGTACTTTACCAGGATACATGTAGCTTTCAAAAGACACAGACAATGAAAATGAAGCACTACTGTCTGCTGAGGCTGGATTTCCTAGCACTGCTACTGATCTGCTTCTGTAGAAACTATTCTCAGGCCTGTAATTCATTTCTGTTTCTAGAGCAAACTGGTTAATTCTTACTCCCTTTTGTGGATTTGTTCATCATATCCTAGACAGCTAGTCCTGGGGGGCACCCCTTAAAGTCTAAAAGAAGTAAAATTAGGGCCAAAAAAAGAAGAAGAAGGAGAGGAAGTACACTACACATAGCAGGTGGTAAATGTGTGAGAAGTATGAACATAGATGAACGTAAGTCCTTAAAACAGTTTTAGATAAAGCCGTGCGAGCTAGATCCATGAATACCGTCGATGGGACTAGGAAACTTGGAAATAGCCCTAATCTAGATATTGTTGTGAGAATAACTCTGCCTTCCTAAGACACGCCCCTAAATGTCCGCGCAAAGACTATACTAAGCTGATTGTGTAACACACCGATCCTGTTTAATCTCGTCCGATTCCACTTTGGAGCCTGCACGGGAGGGGACAGGGTGAGGAGGCACACTGTCCCCGGATCTCTGATTTGGAGGACTACAGGTGATCGTCAGCAAACGTTCCATTGGGTCAGTGCCAGCCTTTCGGGGGGAGCCTGGCCACGCCACGGGCGCGGGGCAAGCGAAGTTTAGCCGAAGGTAATTTCATCCAAGGCTCCTAATCAGGTGCCCCCACTCCCGCCGCCGCGGACTGAAACTTTCTCTAAAGCTTTCAAAATTCAACAATGAGACTTTTTTAAAACCTGTTACCAGCGAAACAAATGTGACCTCCTTTCCCACTCCCAAACTTGAAATGTTCGCCGATGTCGAGTTCGGGGACCTGCGCCGGGGTCCCCGAGCCGCTGAGGCTGGAAATGGCATTTCGGGCCGAGAGCTTCCGGTGGCGCCAAAAAGAAAGGTTCAACGCCGGGCACCGGTAGGCGGAGATTACTCCGGGAGAGCAAAATCAGGAGATTCAGGGGAGGGGCTTGGCGCGGCGGGGCGCTCCGCTTTC